CCACCAGATAATTCAAAGGTGGTCTGTTCGGTGAGTTTTACTCCAGGAGCTGCGAGGCTTTCCAGCTACGTTCTGAACTCTGTTTACTGAACCAGCAGCTGCTGACGTCATTATGCTCTTGCGTGATGCTGCATTCAGGACAAGCATGGAAAACTCACTACTCTTACGCAAAACCGTTCGCAATGATGTGTTTAGGTATCGAAACGTGGTACCGTTTGATGTTACGTGAATAGGTTCTCGGTAGTACCGACAGAATTCGGTCTGTACTTAAAAATGTATCTAATTCGGTACCCATCCCTAAATAACACAGTCTGCTTGAGTGCATGCGTTTCTGTTTAGTTGTGTTTTTTTAAGTAATTCTTTGGTAGAGCATTGGTACCAATGTGACCATACCTATGGGATGTAACAATTAATCAAGAACCAACTAATTGATTGGAACTGCTTCAAATGTGAATTAATTAATAAAAAATGAGTTATTGTATAACAGTTCTGTCTTTAAGACTAATTCAGTTTGATACTTTAACTTTCAGTTACAAGAAGATTTGTGGTGACATTTTTATTATTACTTTGATGTTACTAAGACAACAAACAATTACAACATTTGTTTATAAAATGGCTGCAATTCATTTTGTTAAAAATAAATGGATAAAATAATCATAGTCATGAACTTAAAATCAATAATCAAATCAAATTTGGGCTTGAGTGAATTGTTACATCCCTATTACTCAGTGATTAAATTGTTTCTTTAGAAGTAAAATAAAAAGTGCTGATAGAACAAAGGACTTTAACAGTAATGATTAATGTCTTATTTTAAATTTAAACATTTTTTGTCAGTTAGTTATTTTAACTTCTATATTAGAAAATGTGAAGTTTTAGTTTGTATTTCTGTATTAATAATTATAGATGAGCTTAGCAGTTGTAATTTTTTGGCCTTCCACTGAGACCAAGTATTTTCATTTTTAAGCGTGACAATCAACAAGAACAGCTGGAGAAGTAGGCTGTTGCCCTCATTTATACATGTCTTCTGTGAAACATGACCATTATTAATTAAAAAATAGGCAAAATTCTGTMAAATATATTCATTACTTTTTAATTGCACGTTATAATTTAAGCTCTTACAAAATAGTCATAGAAAATGCTTAGATATATTTTGTGGGGCCAGTTCAGTTAAAGTGATGGAAAGTATTTGTTTATATTGATCAGTATCTCGTTTGTTATAAAGAGCAACAAGAAAGGGCCTAAGGATTGTACAGTCGATATTTTTCCAAGTATTCTCTTCTTGTAGATGTATTTTGAAGACGAATCAAATAAGTAATAAAAACAGTCCAGTCACTGGCATGTTTTGTGATTGGGTGTTTTCTTGTTGGTCGTTTGTTGTTGATACTGATGCAGTTTTTGTTTTGTTTTTGTTCTTCATGTGATAAACGGTTACCTGTTCTCTTTTTCTGCAGGCTTTCCGCTCGCTGGTGGACAGAGTGGGTTTAGGATCGCTTGTTCCTGTGGAGTATTTTGGAAGCAAGAATTTTGAATTTTTGTGTGATAACAAAAGTGTCCAGAGGTTTGAGGTTCGTGAGTTTTAAGTGTTTGGTTCTTAAAGTTCAAGGTGCAATTTTTTTAGCTTTGTCCTGTTTGAGGTCACTTTAAATATAAAATCCGAATGCATTTTTGATTCTAAAAATAGATTCTTGAATTTAAGGATGTCCTGATCCAAATTTTTTGGCTCCCGATACAGTCCGATTTTTTTTAATGATTAGTTTTTCTGCTACTGATCTGATACTTTATTTCTTTATTTATTTCCAAGTGACAAGGTTGGTAGTATTGAAGTGAGCCCTGCTGTTCCCACCACCAGAAACATCCAGTTTGCAGATTTTGAAAGATGCAGTTTCAGCATCATTGTTTTCCACTGAAAGGTGTTCCCACACTGTGGACTTGTGTGTGTCTTGACTTCTTCACAGCAGTTGTAAAGCATGCTGATGCTGAAAACTGTCGCGAAAACTGGATCGGCCCGATCACGACTAAATCTGATTCTACCTGATTTTCAAAAAATGGCCATATCTGCCACCGATACCGATACGGAGTATCTGATAGGGACATCCCTAATTAAATTTATCTTTAAAATTGTTCGAGACTAAAAATTTGAGAAAAATAAATCTGTAACATCAGTTTGCAGTGTTGTTAGAATTTAATTTGTGTTTAGGTGATTGATATCCCATTACAACTTCATACCACTATTTCATAACTGTTTGATTTGTGTCGTTCAGGTTGATAAAGACATGAGACACCCCTTGCTGTTGGAGCAGCCATCACTGCAGGCCGCCATCTCCAGCTGGCGAACTGACTTTGAACTGCAGGAGATCTTCAGGAAGGGTAAGACCCCAGCTCTCCCTCCCCGTTGTCTCTGGGGTGCTTTGTGTTCTAATCTTCTAATTCTTGACACCTTAAATAGAAGCGACAGCTTTTGAAAAATGTGTTCAAAATTCTTCTATTTACAGTACATTTTGTGTTCTCGCTTACACACTAACAAGCATATAAGTAGAGTTGCACATAAGCGGTGCGCAGGTACGCATGAGCGGTCAAAAACAGGAAAAAGTGCAGCAGATGTAACGTGATAAAGCTCACTTGCGTACCTAAGATTGTACTTGATTGCCTGTCAAAACAACAGCTAGCAGGGCTCTAGAGTGCAACCAGTTTGGTCTCAAATGTGACCTGATTTAAAAAAAAAAATAATAATGCCGCACAGTGTGACTGGATCTAGTTCAGTGCTCAAAGCCTGACAGTGGGATCCTGATATAGGGATTAAACGGACACTGCCTTCAACAAATCAGACAAAGTCCAGAGCCTTTTTTATCCAWTCAGAGCAGAGCAGGGCAGGACTTTCAGTCAGAGCAAGTTTGGTTGAAGCAGCAGCTAGACTTGAGCAGAGAGGCTGCAGCGGTCAGTCAGTCATCTCCTCCTGCCTGTACTTTGCTCCTGAACTACCAGAGACTTTGGTCTGTAAAACCTAACTTTATATTAAATACAGTATGTGTTCTGAATGTTGTTATCGTACAGATCTGTCCAACTTTGTGTGAGTGACTAAACTCTCTCCTCCTGAGAGACTGCTGTGACAGGAGCGCATCGCTGCGCACGCACAAGTCTTTCTGTGATACTGCAGGGTCCCACTGTTTTAGTTCTTCTAATTAAACCACATTAACTCTAACAGAACATTTGTTTACCCCATATTAAAGCAAAGATGATTCTCTGTTTAACAACACCCCTGTCAAAAAAATTTTATTTTAAAAAATAAAAATAACATGCCATGTTCTCTAGGTGAATGAGTTTTAAAAGTTATTTTAATTACAGTAATATAATGATACACCCAGCCCCTCTGCCTCTTAGCTAGCTTTAAAGAATTATGCAGAGTAAAAGCATAAAATAAAAACTCAGTGGACTGATTTGGCATGATGTCCTGAGACGTTGCAGCTGATAGGAATCATAAAACAGAACAGGGGGACGTTAGATGTCCTGACGCCCCTCTAGATAAATGTGTTAAAAGAGTTAAGGAAAAATGTGAGCACTAAGCAACAGCCCTAGATTCTCCCCTGAGAACCAGACCAAAAATTTTATGTGCAACCCTGTATTTAAGGACACTTCAGCACACTGCAGTGGTTGGGGACTGAATCTCCAATCCTCTGATTGGAAGTTGACCTCCATGCCACTGGGTCAAAGACACCCGTCATCCCACATTAACAAACACAAACAATGACTCAATTTCTCTGTGGTTAARTCATTTTTTTCAACTCAGTACGAAGTTGTTGTGCATCATCATTGATCTCCAATGAGCCTTTTGTGTGAAAAGAAAAACTGTGTCCAAAAGCACAGTGGTGGTTGGCTGGTAGTTATGATTAGCTAAAAACACTTGGCTGAAGGATTTGCTTGTGTTTTCAGGTTCATACACCGTTCAAGGACGCAGAGTTCGTGTGTACCAGCCAGAGTTTGAGGAGTGCTGGGCCTCTGGAATGGTCTCACAGCATGATCCCATCTCGCACATTATGGAGATTACTTTGGACAAGGTAATGTTTATGTTGGTGTAAAAACAGTCATTAAATAAAGAAGTAACTAAGCCCCTTTTCTGTTCTAAGGTGCTCCATACCCAGCCCTCTATCATGATGTTTTTGTGTGATACAGATTTGTGACAGCTTTGTGGTCAGATCTGTGTGACCACTGAGCTGTTTGCATTCATGTGGAATAAACCAAAACAATTGTTGTCATTAAAACACTTGAGTTACAGTGAAGCCCTTGGAAAAGTGAATCATTTCTTCACTACTGGTGGAATTTAGACCTGGAGTTTGGAGAAGCCTTAAAACCTTTTTCATGATGCTCAGCAACAGTTTATCAAAGAACCTTTATAACATGACCGCCCAAACCAAGGTTTAATAGAGGTTTTTATATGTGGCGAGGATCAGTTAATCAATTACATTTACAGCTTTGCTTTTCAGATTTTTGCTTAAACAGTTAACATGTACATTTTCATCCACTGCATAACTTTAGGACCTGATGAGTAGCAGAGGTTTTTTATGTTCAGATGTGTAAAACTATGTAGTAGAATGAAGGTGTTTTCACTCTTTCACAAAACCAAACATTATTTAATGATATATTTAATGCTTGAAAGAATGTTTTTTTTCCTTTTAATTTTATTTGTGTATTTATTGCAGGCAGAAGAAAATCAGATGGTAGATCCTCGTGTGATACATGTCATGCTAACAGAGGAGGAGGTAAGACTGTCGTAAATTGAACTTCTTTCCACACAGCTTTTTGGGGTAAATGTCAGCAGTTCCAAAACTAATGTTGGAATACCACTCTATAGGGGACTTGAGATAATGTCTAGAAATACGTTCGTAGTCAAATTGCCAATTGCAGTATAATATGTATGAAATGAAGTTGTTTTGGCATTGTGCCCTTGTTTAATTGACTTGTTAGATATTTGTATACTTCTAACCAATGATAGTCAGGGTCACAAGTCTCTGARGCTTTTATTTTGTTGATCAGAAGCTGAAAAGTTTGGGAACTACTGGTGTAAATATTTGATGCCCTTCAGTTTGCTGTGAAGATTTTAGTTTCCTGATACAGATGGAAATCCCACATCAGCCACTGGAAAGAGACATATTTTCTGAGGGCTTTTCCTCCTCAGAACATAGTTATTGAATATGCACCTTGAGATTATTACAAAATTTTGAATAAGTGTGTCTATTTAGAAAAGGTCAATGGCCCTTTTGAGGATTCCCCCATTCACATTTGAATGTCATAATTCTATTCTGTACTCCATAGTGACTGTATTTGATGCAGGTACAAGGACTTTGTTCATGACAATGTTAGCCACCAATCAGCCTACAGATGTAGGTTAAATGAACTTCAAACTGTAAAGAAATCAATAAATTTGTCAAGTTAGTTGCTTGTTGCACTTTTGGCTTAGTTTATGCAGTTTCATGGCACATAGAAGAGGTCAACCACGTTACATTTTTAACTACACAAATTATGGTCTGAGTTGGAAAACCACATACATTCTAAATGTTGTACCTTTTAGAGATTTTTAAAATTTGCTCAGTATAAAAATGTGTGTGTTTCCCCCTCTAAACTTTGTAAGAATGGACGACGAGGGAAGGACAGTGAAACGTTGAAGGGAGATGGAGGACGCAGACGTAAAACTCCTTCGGAGGATGAGGAGGACTTGCACTTGAAACGTTTTAAAGGAGCTGTTGATTCTGACACAGACGCACAAAACTCTGGCGACTCCAGTAAAGTTGCAGTGGAAGGGATGGGGATGTGGGCTGGAGACTCTGGAGGGAGAATCAGCAACACGGCCAAAAACGGGAACTCCATAGACGGCGTCTCCCCTCAGGTGAGGGCGCCTCCTCCAACCCCCAATTCCAAACCGCAGATGGACCCGTCAAATGCTGCTGCTCCTCGTTATCCTGCCCAAGTCAAAGAAAATGGTCGCTTGCTCTCTAACCAAGGAGCAGCAGACTCCACCAGCATTACCTCTCTCACCCCCAATCCTCCTCCACTTAAACCAGCGCCCTCCCCCTTCTCGGCAGCATCTTTTCCCTCGGTAGGGCAGATGCCAATCCTGGTCCCTGGAGCTCCAGCTTCGAAGCCCTCCACATCCCCCCAACTAGATCGAGAAGATTCCTGCCAGTCAGRTTACTCTAAAACAGCTGCTCTTGTGTCCCCGGGGCCTGTCACTATTTCCTGGTCACAGGACAGCAGTCCCAGCGTGGCACTGTCTGCGTCTGTGGGTTTTGGTCCTAAAGCTCCTACCTGGGGAAGCCAGACTGAGGTAAGACAATCAGTGCTTTCATTAAATAAGTTCTGTGGTACCATAAAAGAGAACAATTTTAGTATCTGTTTGTTTTTCTCTACAGAACTCAAAAACAGCACCGGGTTTTTGTTTGCCCCAAGCTGTGCCCACTGCCCCRGTGTTTGGAGATGCTGTCCCACAGACCAATGGGGATCCCGCCACCACCACAGCCTCCCAGAGTACCCCGAGGCCTTTTGGCTTTGGTTTCAGTGGGATTAAGCGTGAGACTCAGTCGCAGCAAGACCAGAATCTGTTTTTTCAGTGTATGACTCAGAATTCTGGCACCAGCTCAATCCTCACAAAGGGCCAGACTCAATCCAAGGACACAAATTACTTTACTGCAGTGTCTGAGAGTCTGAGTAAAGAGACCCCAGGCCTTTATAAACCTGGATCTTCCACTGAAGGACTGAAAAAGCCTGAGCAGCCCAAAGTGCCTGAGGCCCCTTCAGTGGGAAATGGTGTATTCAACAAATCGTCAGCCTTCCAGGGTGGTGCTACAGGAGGGCGGAGTCCCAGTTCAACAGTCGGTGGGCTCAATGCGGCCCCTGGAACCCAAAGTGCTATTAAGAAGAACAGTAATAGTGAAACTTCTGTCGGGGGGTTAGGACTGCAGTCCAGTTTTAATTCCTCAGATAGCCACCAGAACATTTTTCTACAGGCCTCCAAAGAGTCTGCTAATCCATTTTTGGCATATGGGGATAAAATTGCTCACACATCTTTTGGTGGCCTGTCTGGGACTGAGCCACAAACTCTTGGCGTTGCCTTGGACAGTAAACCCAACCTGTTTACTATGGCAGAGCCACCTAAAGGTATTCTGTCCTCCACCTTCCAATCAGTCTCAGCGGCTGGTTCAGTCAGCTCTTCCTCAACTCCCACACATCCTCAGAGTGAGGTGTCTGTAATAAAGAAGGAGCAAGAAGTTGGAGAGATGCCCACATCCACCTTGGGCTGCCCCGTACTTGGAGGTCTCAGCCCTGGTGGAATGAAGGAAGTGCCTGGGCCCTTTGACCAGAGCCAGTCTCAGAAGTTCAGCCTTGAAGAAAGAGAAAGAGGCCCCTCATGTAAGCGTGACTCTGACTTCAGCAGTAACAGTGACCTGTCGGACCTGAGCGAGAATGAGGAGGGCCTCGATAAAGGCCAGCTCCTTGGAGAGCGTCCTCTTCCTACCAAGGATGGAGCCATTCAACAGAAAGCAAAAATCCAAGGGGCTGTTAAAGGCCGTCCACGCAACAAGCCTTTCAAAGGTAAGCCTTAATTGTTTTTACCAGCGTCCTAAAGTTTCTTTGATTGCCATGTTAGATTAACAAAAGAATTAATATTTGGTTATCTGTTCCAGTTGGCCAGTCCGTACTAAAAGATCAGAGCAAGGTGCGTCGTCTGAAACAGTCTGGAGAGTCCTTCCTCCAAGATGGCTCCTGCATCAGCGTGGCTCCTCATTTGCACAAATGCCGCGAATGTCGACTTGAGCGTTACCGTAAATACCGAACCACCGATGACGACAGTGATGAAGATGACGATCCAAATGTAGCCTGTCGTTTCTTCCACTTCAGAAGGTATTTTCTGTTTTTTTTTGCTCTTTATTGCATCAGTCTTAATAAAATGAAACAATTTAGATTTCTCGCTTAAATTCGTATTTTCCTTCTTTATTTTTTAAAATTTACTTCATCCAGGTTGGCTTTCACGCGTAAAGGCATATTGCGCGTGGAAGGCTTCCTAAGTCCTCAGCAGAGTGATGCCATGGCTATGGGACTCTGGTTGCCTGCACCAGCTATACAAGAGGGCCTTGACCTAGACACATCCAAGTACATCCTGGCCAATGTGGGAGACCAGTTCTGTCAGTTGGTCATGTCTGAGAAAGAGGCCATGATGATGGTGGAGCCTCACCGTATGTATTAAGTCATAACACCTCATATCGTTATTTTGTTCTGTTTGTTTCATATTTTATGTCTGTATAAAGTTTCTGCCCTGTCTTTAATTGTTGTTTTTCCACTTCTCTGCAGAAAAAGTGGCATGGAAACGAGCTGTTCGAGGTGTCAGAGAAATGTGCGATGTATGTGAGACAACTTTGTTTAACATCCACTGGGTCTGTCGCAAGTGTGGCTTTGGGGTGTGTCTGGACTGCTATCGGCTCCGCAGGAACAGGCCGAGAGAAGGTAACTTGTTACATTTGTATCGAAAGAGAACTGAAATGTCCTATGTTTTACAGTATTATTGAGGAAGTGGAAACAGAATAACTTCATTGTGAATTTTTATTTAGATGTGGATGAAACACCAGAAGATGAGGTTTTCTCTTGGTTAAAATGTGCCAAAGGTCAACCTCATGAGCCACAAAACCTCATGCCAACTCAAATTATACCTGGAACAGGTAACATACACACAACCTTTGAATTGTGAATCTCTAAATCGCAAACAAAGTGATTTGTATCCCATGCAGAGTGATTGAGTTTGTCTGTTTCCCTTCAGCCCTTTACAACATAGGTGACATGGTGCATGCTGCAAGAGGCAAGTGGGGTATTAAAGCTAACTGTCCTTGTGCCAGTCGGCACACAAAGTCTTTGGTGCGCCCTACTGCCCCCAATGGCATTTCACAGGTACATTTGTCATTTTTGTTTACTTGTGTTTGGATTTTTACAGCTCTTTTTAACTCTGTTTTTCTGTTAATGGTAGCAATCTACAACCAGCAGTGGAGGTGGCCTCACAACTGCAGCCTCTGGTACTAGCACTACTCCAAAACCAGAAGGAGAAACATCAGTGATCAAAACAGAGCCTACACAAACAGCTACACCCTCAGATACTGGGGGTGGGGAAAGTGTGGGTAGTACCAGTAACTCCATTAGTAGTACTTCTTCTCTCTGTAATGTCACTCAGTCCCCTACCAAGGACTCACGCTCATCAGGAGAGGGCAACAGTTCTGCGCTGCATTGGCTGGCAGACTTGGCTACACAGAAGGCCAAGGATGACACCAAGGGTGAGTAGGAAATGGAAAGTGTTGAGTTAGGAAAAAGGTGCAAAGAAAGTTAGCATCAGGTTCAGATTTAAAGTTAAGCTGTCATTTTCCCCATCCTCCTCCTCCTCCAGAATCCAGTTCACTTCGCTCCATGATGAACCGAGAAAGTCGACCTCCCTTTGGCCTGGACTCACTCAGTGCCCTTTCAAAGCCGTCTGCTTCCAGCCCGAAGCTGTTTAACAGCTTGTTACTTGGCCCCAGCATGACCCAGTCCAAACCTGAGGGGTCAAGTCTCCGTGACTTGCTCAACTCTGGACCAGGCAAGCTGCCGCAAGGCCCTGGAGAGAGTGGGGTCCCCTTCCCCTCAGTTTTTACCTCATCAAGCGTATGTTTAAATTTTGTCATTCTGTGTAAATTTAGGAAGTTAATTCACCTTGAGCAACTATACTATACTATACTATACTATACTATACTATACTATACTATACTATACTATACTTGGCACAAAACGTAAGGAAATATGTGTTTGGTACATTATTTCTTTGTTGTAACAATTCTTCTTGGCAATAAATCGTACACATTTGGAAAGGCTGTTAATTTCCCTTTTTAAATGGTGCCACATGTGACAAATCTGCCAAACTGCTTATTTTGCTGTTGCTGTGACTCTTGTTTTGAGCTTCTGGTCCCCCAGGTGCTGCCAGTCAGGTGCCCGCTATAAGATTTATTACCAAGAAGCATTGTTACAACAAAGGAATAATCTACCAAACACTAATTTCTTTACTTTTTGTGCCAAGTTTAGTTTGAGRAAGATTTTCTTATGAAATAACTAATTTGTTTTTCCCATGAAATCATGATACTCTTCAGATCCCTCTTTTTGAAAATTAAAAAATAATTGTATTAATAGACTAAAATGTTATGAATGACCACATATGTCTTTTACATATTTATAGTCATAATTTTAACAATAAACACACCAAAAGTCAAGTAACAGCTCTACATATTATTATTGCTGCCATTTATTAGTGATTAAATTATTCCTTTAGATTTTAAATGTCAAAATCCAAATTTACTAATATTCTATTAAAAAGATGTGACTAACTGTGAAGTATACAGTGTGTAACCTTGAGTTTATCTCTATGGTCATTTAGGGCGACAAAATGAAGAGCAGCCTTCCAAACTTCCTGGATCACATCATCGCCTCAGTTGTGGAGACCAAGAAAGCAGAGGGCCGTCGCGCTGGGTCTTCTGAAGGCAGCGAACTTAGTGTTTTGGGTGCTCGTAAAGATGGAATTATGGGTCTAAGTGTTTTAGAACCTCATACCTCACACACTTGGCTCTGTGATGGGCGACTCCTTTGCCTACAGGATCCTGGCAACAGCAACAACTGGAAGATCTTCAGAGAGTGCTGGAAACAAGGCCAAGTAAGCTTCGTTCCACATGAATTTGAAATATAGCAGAGTGAAGTCACTTGCATCTGATTTTTATTTTTTCTCCTTTTCTCTCCCAGCCTGTGTTGGTGTCTGGGATACATAAACGCCTGAAATCTGAACTGTGGCTGCCTGAGGCCTTCAGCAGGGAGTTTGGAGACCAGGATGTAGACCTGGTCAATTGTAGAAACTGTTCTATTATTTCTGATGTAAAGGTGCGAGACTTCTGGGACGGTTTTCAGACGATCTCAAGTGAGTACATTTTTTTTGTCTTAACATCACTAGCATAAAATTGTCAATATACAGGTGTATTTAGGTACTTGTTTCTTTCTGACGTCAGAAAATTCCTCCCTTGTATTTTCTGTAAATTCAGAGCGGCTGCAGGACAGTGACGGCAGGCCCATGGTGTTAAAGTTAAAGGACTGGCCTCCAGGGGAAGACTTTAGGGACATGATGCCCACAAGGTGAGAAACCTAAAACTGTTTCTATGCATCAAACAATTCTAGCTTTGAAACAATATTTTAAATTGTTGGAGGTCCATTTGTGTTTTTCCTAAAAATATGCTTTTTGGTATATTTATATTTATTGTATAGGCTTGACCGTCATCTAGGACTAGGTTAAAAAATTGATCTAGGATCAATTTCGTTTAAATTCTGCAATATTGATCCATAGGGCATGAGATCGATGTTTCTTTTTTCCTTATGAAGTTATCCTCCGTAGTCTCATGCATTATGAAGCAGAGTCACGTTTATATGTTTTGTCTCTCCTGGCTTGTCATACATTTATGTCCGGTTGGCGTTCATCAAGCGCACAAGCGCTAACATTATCTTCCAACAACAAGTCATCTGTGGCAACAAAAGAAACTAAAGCCCTATTCTGATGAGATTAGTTTTACCTAGGGACCCAATACTATTTGTAATAATTACAGAGATTGTCTGTGTTGTTAATCCCATGCGAATCGGCCATGTCAGTAATTTGTAAAGTTAAAAAATATATGTGTATGTATGTGGGGGTGGGGTGGGGGTCTGTTGGCCATGAAGATGACAGCGCCTGCTGTAAAGCAGGAGGAAAGGAGAGTGGAAGAAGTGGATAACTTATTTCTAGCCTAATTTCTAGCGGCAGAACAGGTTGGAAGATGGTTATTTGATGTTTATTGTTTTTTTAATGTCCGTTCAACACGTCAACTAACCAGGCTTCAATATCCCTTTTGGGAGATGTCTGTAAATTTCAGGAAGATCTCAGGCTTCGGTTATCCTGTGCGAATGCGCCACATAAAACACAGACGTCGGGGAGTGATTTATTTCTTACGTGGGGTCCCCAGATAATTCTTATCCAGTGTAAATAGGGCTTAAGGCACCACTAACTAGTCGATTCTCTGTGYGACATAAAGATAACAGAGGTCATGGCAGCTTTTGTTTGCAAAGATATACACCTGTACTCTGTAGTGAAAAACAAAGGCCTCAAGCAGCTCGTTCAGGTGGTTGAAGCACACTGTTATGGTGCAACGTAAACATCTGATAGAAAACCTGTTATCCCTGTATGTTTAAATGTGTGAAAGACGACATTCTAACAAAATTTTTTAGTTTTGTTACCACTATTGTTTTTACAGTTTAAGAAACAATGTCCTAATAAATTTATAGTGATGGAATGTTGTAGTTCAAATACGCTTACTTCCACTTGCGTTTCGTTTCTAATTTAAACACCTTTGAGACTTGACAGTTCTGTTTGCAGTTAAAGTTTAAACTGTCCAGTTTACAAGTTTGCCACCAAAACCTGTTGTTTATGGTGAAGAGAAAAAATAAAGTACATTTCTATTTTACATCACAGTTGAGCCATTTTCATTATTTAAGATCGAATCATGATTAATCAAGTCAGTTTATGAATCGAAATTGAATTGATAAAGGGAATTGTCCATGATACCCAGCCCTACCGTCCTCAATAGTTTCATATGTTTATGAATATTTTGTAAAATTATTGTACATGTCCTATCTTGTGTCTTACTAGGTTTAACGATTTAATGGAAAACCTGCCCTTGCCTGAGTACACAAAAAGGGATGGTCGTCTAAACCTCGCCGCACGCTTGCCCAACTTCTTTGTGCGTCCTGACCTTGGACCAAAGATGTACAACGCCTATGGTAAAAGAGATTGTCTAATTGAGCTCTGTTTCCCTTGCTCTGTTCAGTATCCATTTGTTTTCACCTTCCCTGTTTTTGCTGACTATCGTTTTTCCTTCAGGCTTGATCTCAGCTGATGACAGAAGGGTRGGAACCACTAACCTTCACTTGGATGTGTCTGATGCGGTCAACGTCATGGTTTATGTTGGCATCCCTCTACGAGAAGATAACCACGAGGAAGGTCAGTAGACTTAAAGACATTTTGATTCTGCCTCCTTCTCTCGCTCACACACGCATGTACATCCATTTAACGCACATTCATTACAGAACAGCTTCACATTATTCCATCTGCTAAATGGAAGTGAAATGACCACTTTTCGTTCACCAAACAAAAAGCAAAACATTTTATTTTACAATATTTCAAATTGGGCGCTTCCTTCTCTGTGTCAAATGAAATTTATTATAAAATCAAATACTTTTTTCACAGTTCTATATCTTATACATGTCTGCAAACATCATAAATTTGCCAAAAGTATCATGATTAGAAAGTTTTAATTGTTCCAGGCTTGTTGTGCTTGGAAAGGACACTGGAGAGACCCTCCAGTGGGTCTCACGTATTTACATTGTGGCAAAATTTCTCCTTCACAGAGGCAGAAATCTCTGGATATAAAGGTTTGTAGCCTTTCAGTTGTATCACTTGCGTAGCATGCCCTTCTTCTTGACTAACTCTCCTCCTTCACTCTTGCGTACCATCCTTCTGTTACTATTGTGCAAGTAGGGGCCAGAGCACAAAGAACCCATTCCTCAGTTTGTATTGTTGCATGTCTCATACAGTGTTGTAGCTTTCTGTGTGATTCAGTCTTTATTAKCTGAGTAACACACAACCAGATGAGTTCCAATTGTCACCTTTTGTGTTGATTTTGGGTTTGTGTTTAAACTTTTATGGAGAAATGTGGCCTGATCTGGGTTTAGTGGTTGGGTAGCTGTTGTACCAGGACTGTCCTCACTTCCTGTGGGCGTACGTTGGGTGTGCAGTGCTCTGGTCCTTAAACTGTCGGAGAGTAGTTTGAATGAAGGGCATCTAGAGCTGGCATTCTTATTCTCACACAGTCTTCTTTCCACTCAAAACACTGACACACACACACACAAATAAATGTGTATTGTTAGATTTACTACAGTCCATTGTGGTAAAGTTACTTGTGTTTAAACATGAGCAAGAGTCGTCTTTAACATAAATGACTTTGGAGCTGTTGCACTGAATAAGTTGTCTCATCTGWATCAGTAGTTGTATTAAGCCTGGTTTATACTTCGAGTCGCACGTCTTTTCTCCCTGCTGAGTGACAAAAAATTGCGCAACTTCCGTCTGCTRTCCCACTGCTATCCCCCGGTGACAGCCGTCTTGTGCATGYCCTCCAGTCAGAACTGTGCCGACGGGACGTTGCGACTCTSWGTGTGTGATAGGTRCAGAGTACGTMGGTGTGTTGAGGCGCACAGTTCCYAGGAGTTGGAGCTGGACCAGAACAGGACCCCGATCCTTCTGCTTGTTATTTTGTTTAAAATTAAATATATTTTTTGTCTGAAGCCAGTTTTAAAAAGGGCTCAAAGGGCAGCTGGTTTGATCCAGGTCCCGATGAACGATGAACGTGAGCGCGCAGCTGGTCGTGTCTTTTTTTTTTTCTGTCCGCTGTTAAAAAAAAAACGGCTCTACTTCACTCAACACTAATGTTGAGTGGAAAAAACACTATCCAGCCATTGTTATTGTAGTTTATATACTTTATATGAGCTATGGGAGGGCAGATGGAGGATTTATGATAATTTTTGACCCACTGCGTCTTTAGCCTGTTTATACTCTGTCAGGAAAAGATGCGCTGAAATTGCACAGTCATCAACCCGCTGCCGCACGTCTTATTGGAGTATAATCCAGGCTTTAATCTGTGCAACTGAAATCAAAACCAATCAGATTACAGATACACTGATAAATCAGTAGTTAAATGAGATGTCTGTGTGATTGGGGCGTTAGTTTTAGCTGCTCTACAAGTCGACAATAGGCTGTGGACGTGAATGTTGTGTCAGTAAATGTGGTTGTGTAGTCTGTTGACTGTTTTATCTGCCTCAGTGGTTCTCAACTGGTCTGGTCCCAGAACTCACATTACATTAATACTCAAACATTATTTAAAATAACTTGTAAACCATATGGCTGGGTTTTAAATGTTATACAACATTGAACTTGAGCGTAAAAGACCACCGCCTTTATTTTTTTAAAATAAAAAAAAGTCACTAAATCACATAAGTAACACATATGTTAGTGTTTTTTAAAAACCTCGCCACAAGACTGGTGTATCCAAACCAAACTTTGACATTGATTTGCAACTCCACTTCAGGTTTAGCTTAATTTATCCTCTGTGGCACCACCGCCACACTTCAGACATGATCAGATGGTCACATTGCCAGAGCAGCTGTGCCTGGGCCTCTTCACTGGGTTTTGCAACTAAATTTAGCACAAAAATTAAGGAAATTTGTGTTTGGTAGATTTGTTGTAACAATGCTTCTTGGTATTAAATCTTAAAGTGGGCAGCTGATTGGCAGCACCAGAAGCTCAAAACTAAAGTCAACAGCAACAGCAAAATAAGCTGTTTGACAGAGAAGATGTGGCAAGTTTTTCATGTGCACAACCCACATACTCAGCTCTACTGCTCGTCTTACAAATGCATGTTCCTTACAAATGTGGCACCATTTAAAAGGGAAATTAGCAGGCCTTTTCAACAGTACAAGATTTATTGCGAAGAAGCATTGTTACAACAAAGAAATAATCTACCAAACACAAATTTCATTATTTTTTGTGCTAAGTTATCGTGTTCACAGCCGTATTACACAGTCACAAACAGAATCAGAAGCTTGAAAGTGAGCACATGTCAGAAATAAAACCTAAGTCATGTTTTTGATAAACACGTCAGGTCATGAAGGGCCAGTTTAGAACTACAACACAGCATCATTTTTTGTCCAAATATACAATGAATAAGATATTAGTTTATTTCCTAAATGATAAATAATATAACACACCCAATCTGTAATGTTAAATAAGCATTATTGACTTTTAACATGTTCATTTATTCGAGAACATAAAGTAAACTCACTTACAGATTGAACCTTTTTAGTTTTTATAGACTAATAATGAATGTTTGGTATCTTGTATGTTTTTGTTTGTATCGTTTGCTCTTTTTTTCCCGGGCTTCAGAGGTCATGACCACTATAGAGGAGGGAGACGTGGATGAGATGACAAAGAGGAGGGTGCACGAGGGGAAGGAGAAACCGGGAGCTCTGTGGCACATCTACGCTGCCAAAGACGCTGAGAAGATTCGAGAATTGCTCCGCAAGGTCAGTAGCCAGGAGACTTCTGTTTGACTTGGCATCAGATTTTAAAGCTTTTAAAGGTGAAACCTTTTGTCACACTTCTTGTGTTTAAGTCTTATTACATCACTTGCTTTCAGGTGGGAGAAGAGCAAGGTCAGGAGAACCCTCCAGACCACGACCCCATTCACGACCAGAGCTGGTACCTGGACCAGGGGCTCCGGCGGCGCCTTTATGAGGAGTATGGCGTCCAGGGCTGGGCCATTGTTCAGTTCTTAGGAGATGCTGTGTTTATCCCTGCTGGAGCTCCGCATCAGGTCAGCGTGATGGCAGTTTCTTCACATCCAAGCAGCATGTTCTGTATGTGTTCTCCTTTCATTAACATGCGTTCTTTTCCTGGGTTTTCTCTTTACAGGTGCACAACTTGTACAGCTGTATCAAGGCGGCAGAGGACTTCGTGTCTCCTGAACACGTGAGGCACTGTTTCAGACTGACGCAGGAGTTCAGACACCTTTCTACGACTCATACAAACCACGAAGACAAGTTACAGGTCGGTGTTTGATCAGCAAAATGTCTTTCTGTTAAGTTGGAGAATAATCAGATTTAAGGTCTTAACTCTTTTTTTTTTTTATCCTCAGGTGAAGAACATCATCTATCACGCAGTGAAGGACGCCGTCGGGACGCTGAAGGCACATGAGCCGAAACTGGCACGCCCTTAGGCCTTCTCTGCAAAGGCCACTCCTCTATACACACACACACACACACACACACCTCACATATCTACACAAGTCAAAGCTGCAACATACACATTATGAAGGTGGTGTGTGTTGTTTGGGCAGCGAAGGTCTGAGTTTAGGGAAAGAACATTTCATTGGAGGGAGGGGGTGGGATTAGATGGGGTGGGGCTGATCAGAGCTTCAGTACGCTCAAACTTGTGTAGTTGTTTTTCAYTTATGTTTTTCTTTTCTTTTTTGATTAACCTTGTATTTATGGTCAGTGTGTTCTGTTTTCATTGTATAATGTAAGATGTTTGATTGATAGAGGTAAAAAGCTGCCGTGCCTTTGGAGCAGAGGTTCAGCTACAAATAAAGCAACTGAAGAAACGTGAGGACTGGGTTAACTTTTCCTTCTATGATGACATTACTTTCAACAATACAATCTGTTCTGGTAGTTTTTTATTTTACTTTTGAAAGTTTTTTTTTTTTATTTTTTTTTTTTTTTAGTTTTTAAACTGCTGATTGTTTCTGTCGTCCATGGCTGAAAATGAATTCACAAAGCAGCCATTCAAGGGAAGCAGACCAAAGTTTTGTATGTTTAGTTTTCTTATTTCACTTTTAGAGTAAGAAATTTTTCTTTTTTATGCACACGTTAATGATCCGTAGAGCTTCAGAGACGACAGTTTTTGTTTCTTTCCTTCAACCTTTGTCCCGGGGGGGTTGATGAACTGCAGACTTCCAAGAACATTGTTAAAGAATCACATTTGCAGCTGAACAGAACTACTGGCCATTAACATTGTATCAATATATATATTGATCTTAGCAGTCTGATTTTTTTTTCACAATAAAATTGACAAAAACGGCTTTGTTGAATGGTTATTTGAGAAGTTTCATTTTATTGTTCAAAAGCAAAGTCTGTAAGGTATCTAGATTCAATAAAATGTCTTTTAGGCTTATCACTTATACAATTTTAATACAAAATTTTCAACACTAAAGAAAATCCTTTAAAGATTTTTGAATTCATGAGTAACAACTATCATTAATTTAAACTTAAACGCATATGTTATTTTGTCTCTTCAGACACATCTGACATGTTTCAACACATAAAGAAAAAATTTGATTTATCATATATAGACACAATGAACTTCATTGGATTAAACTTAAAAGCTGTTTTGATTACTGAAACACCTTTAAAWATATATAAAATTGCACGTTCTCTTGTTGAAACTAGATCAAACCAAAACTGTTTCACACCAGGGCAGGGTTACAAAAGGTCAGCCAGAGGGAAGGTATATATATTTAATAGGCATTAATTTTCAATCAGACTGTCCTGTGGAGACTTTCACCTGTTTTTCACTTGCCACACTAAACACAGCCTGTTTAGAAACGGTAATGCTACAAAATGTGAGGTTATTTTTCTTTTTTGAAGAAACCGGTTGTATCATAAATTCAGATCATACTCTTATTACATTTTTAGTCTAAGCTATTATTGCTGTTTTACAAACTATCATTTCATATGATAACTTAAACATGGTGGCTGCTTTGTTTATTGATCTTATTAAATCAGTTTAGTATTATATTTTAGTTCACAGAGGAACAAACAGACTTCTGTGTTTCAAAGCAAAAGCATTTACCGGTAAACTGCATGTGGCAAACCTTTATAATGTAATAAAATCCCTAGATACAATTAAGTTTCTTGTCAAATATAAGTACTTACTATTCAGATTCATAGTAAATAATCCATTTCTAACATTCCTCCTAGTAAAAAATAAATTTCACCTTTATTTTTCAAACTTTTTTGACCTTGTGTCTAATTTCATTGTTCTCTGTGCACAACTGGAGATATCAGCTCAATATCTGCTGAGACCATCTGAAGTGTACATGTCAATACCTGAATGTAAACAAAAACATCTGTAATTGTTGGCAACAAAACATGTCTGATGATTTTGCTCATTTATTTATTTATTTATTTATTTATTTATTACAAATTATGTGGTAGACTAGACTTTAGGTGGTGAATAAAGCCTATTGGTTAACTTTTAACATTGATTATACAGAAACAAATAATTCAAATTCAAAACATTAAAAACTGCATATTTTGACCGCTATCATAGTTTTAAACTTCACGTGCAGGCAAACGCAACAAGGCCGGTGAAAACGAATATCTGCGTTAAAGTGGTCTGTTCATTATATGACAAGTCGTCGTGCCCTACCTGGGATCCTGTCCCTTTAAGAGTCTGTCCGTCCTGGAGCAGATTGCTGCAGCAGCGCTCCTCCGGCTGTTTGCTTACCCACCTGACAGCAGCAGCCACCCGCTTCACATCGCAACACTCCCAAGTCCTGGACGGGTGATGGAGGGGCACCGAGCCTGCTTTCCGGCCAACTAGATTATCTAGACACAGAAGGCTCTCAGCCGGCTGCCAAGCAAGATCATGGTCTCCTGGATTATTTCGAGGATAGTTGTGTGAGTATATCTGGGGGCTGGGCTCCATCTATTTGCTGTGTTGTGTATAGCTACATCCTCGGCTTCCCCATTCATCACTGTTGCAACTAGTACCAGGAACTCTCTTATCAGCTTCCTATCCGACTATACTTGCTTTTTGGCTGAGTTATATATATAWAWAAAAAAGCCCACAGTGAACAGGCTGTTAATTAAACATCGAGTTTGTTGTTTTAATCGTTTCATTGTGTTTTAACCGCTGCGATGATGCAGCACAATCTAGCGCGTGCGTTAGCCGCAGGTAGCTAACAGCTCTCAATAATTAGGCCAAATTACACATTTATTGTGTCGACAGGATACAGGAGCTGTTATTGAGCTGCTTATTGTTCCGAGTCAAACTGCTTAACATGCAAGCCTTGCTGCAGACAAGTAAACTCGAGAAAAAAAATGTCTGCCATTGCCCTTTGTAAGCTGAATACTGCTCTGAAAGCTGCAGCTTTGTGTTCCTAACATATAGCTGTTGAGCTGAATCTTAGCTAGGCCTGGAATAAAATGAGTAAAATCCATCATTTGTTGATGAAAAGATGGTTCAAGCCTCAGCTTCCACCTCTGCTCACCTCCATATTCAATTCAATTCAAAAATACTTAATTGATCCCAGAGGGAAATTAGGTAAACAGTTATTAGCAGCAATATAAACAGTTTCTCTGCTGCATTTCTTCAGATTCATGTTTGTTGGATATCTGGCTGCTGATTTCTGATTTTAYCCACACATATGCTTTTAAAAAGGCCACAGGTGTCGAAATGATGCTCTGATCTATAAATATGCTGGACTACACAAGAAGAACACTTCAAAGCTGTTAATTTTTAAATGCCTCCAGCTGGATCCTCTCTCTTGGCCTCCCTCAGGTAGTCATGCGTCTACTGGAGGCAGACAATGTGACTGGGTATGAATCATAAGAAGCCCCAACGCACCAAGCAAATGATCTGCTCAGCTCCATAACTATGCAACCACGTCCTTTCTTTTACAGCAAACGTGAATTGTCAACAACTTTACTCGAGAGAGTAAGAGTGGTCGAACGAACTCAGAGGTGAGGGGGGGTCGTGACATCAGATGGGCTGAGGGAGTCCACCAGCCTTGGCGTCCGCTTCGAGTCGCTTTGCTTTAGAGCCTCTGCACACACGACTGAGCAGCTCTAAATAGGACACAAGATCTAAACACAGAAAGGAGGAGGGGATTATTCTCAGCTGGAAGCACAAGCTTGGTGTGATGCACATTTAAACCTCCTGGATTTATTAGTTTTTTTATTGTAAGCTTACAGGCGTTTCTATATTTTCCAACAATGTCCCTTTTTTTTATTCCTGCCGTATCAGCACAAATCACCACAGAAGTGAAGGGTGCAACCAAATGCACGTCAAGCGCACCCGTGTGCTAACGCACGGTGACCCACCCCGGTGGAGCTTTGTGTGTGTTTTTCCACTTCATCTCGCTGCAGTCTTTCTGACTCCCAGACCTCCATTTTAGTGTTTGTGTTGGTTCTCAGAGCAGCCTGTTTTGATAAGCCTCAGCCTATTGTTTAATTTGCCACGCCCTCGTTGCTCAGATCAACACCATTTGAGGGGAAAAAAAAATAAAAACCTGTTCTTGTTTAAGTAAAAGTAGAACAGTCGTGCAGAATTCAGACAAACTTGGTGGAAACAAAGTAAATCCACAGAAGTGTGTGTGTGTGTACTCTGCCCTCYTACTGAATCCTCACCCAGGTGTCTCCGCTCTGTTTCTGCAGCCTTGCCTTTGGGACGCTCTACCCGGCGTACTCCTCCTACAAGGCTGTCAAAACGAAGAACGTGAAGGAATATGTGAGTACGACCTCTGCTTATCGCGTCTCAGCAGACCGGCGATGACCTCTTTCTGTCTCGCTTGCCTTTTCAGCAGCTTCAAGTTGTTGTCCTCCTTGACACAATCGTGGAATGAGATTTTAAATMTCTCATCCACTCTGAGAGGACAGGCAAGTTTGGCGTTGTTTCATTAGAGGTCATCCAATAYTTCAAATACATTATTTTATTAAGTCACACTGAAGTTTAAGTCGCTCTAAATTCGTGACTTGATCAAAAGAATCAAACGTAATGAGTTTATGCAAGGTGAAGCTGAAAGCACTGAGGGACAATCCATGCAGGACACAGAAACATTCATGAKATGAGGGCACTGCAGTGCTGTAAGAATCCTGAACTGAAATCATCCACGCGCTCCTTTGTTCCTATGAGGTTTAAAAATTTATGTCTAATCTATTTTTAATTAAAAAATTTTTTTTAATGAAATGGAGCTTTGTTTTGATCATTAGGCTACTTTCTAAAGCTCTCTGAGTCGCCTTTTGTACAGGATGGTCTTTAAATGACATTTATTAAGGTGGAGCCAGAGGGGCAGCAGTTGCTTCACAGTTGATTGACATGTCACTGAATGTGGCATTGAGAGATCTGTGACTCGAATAAATCAGGACAAAAAAAACTAACTTGTATTTTCTTTTTATAAAGACAAACATTTTATTTATATCGAACCGCGTCGAACAATACAGATTTTAAAAATTTACTTTATCAACTTGTCTTCTGAAGATGCTCTGTGTTGAAGGATCAGTGGATCTGTGTTCGAC